CAGGGATGGAACTCATGCTGAAGTGGCTTTAGCTTCTTAGTGCTGTACTTTAACCTGCTGCGCCATCAAGGAGGGCCAAAGTAGTGTTTCTTTTTATTAAAGTGAATTGCAGATAATCTTAACATGCTTCACAGTTAAGGATGCCTTTTCATATGGATAGATTATAGCACATCCAGCTATCAGCCCACAAATATATGATGTTAATTAAGCATAATCATTACTTTGAAGACATTTATAAACTTGTAGTAAATTATCCTCTTGATATTTAAATTTTAGTATGTCATTATGTTGAGATAATTACTCCTAATTTGGTAGAAGTACCTCAATTTCCCAGAAATACATAATTTAATATATGAAATGTCCCTTGACACTTGAAGTCCAAAAAAGTGAATATTCCTGGAAATGCCATTTGACTTAGAAAAATAATATATCTTCTGTGAATCTCTCTTGTTTTAGAGATCTCTCTTTTTGTTTTAATATTTAACAGTGTGAAAAATAAAGAAATTCGACACTATTTATAATTAAAATCACCTGTTTAAGTTTTGCAGAGAATTATTTGTGATTTTAGGTTAAGCTGATTACAAAACTCTATCATATATGTTATTCAAGCTAATTTTGACTTAGGATTCAATAATAATGTTAGAATGTAATTCTCATTCAGAAAAATTTTAATTACAAAGCTGAGCTTGAAGTATCACAACATAACTTGTCCATTACTAAGTTTTTTAATTGTTCTGCAGTCACTCAACCCAAAATAGCTTCTTCTGTTAAATTTCACAATCTGACAATGAACAAAAGCATGAGAATATGAGTGAGAACAAAGGAAGTTCACTATTACTACAACGACACATGTTAAATCCAATATTTTCAACACAATACATTCTAATGAATAACACAATGACTTATCATAAGTTTTGTACATTTTTCAAAAACACTGTAAATCTCTTTAAGAATGGCCTGTGCCAAACATTTGTACAGAGGAAATGTAATATAGATTACAAGATTCTACATTAGGTTATACTCATTTATTGTTTCCTCAGCTGCTTTGAAAATATCCTCTTTTATAAATTTTCCATGTAGCATATTCACCAAGGTTAATTCTCATTGACTTTTTGGTGTGGAATGACTGAATAAATCATAACTGAGCAGCATTAGTAATTGTTGTTGACTAATCAAAGGAAAAGCAGAGCCACCAAAAATCATTATTTTAAAATACTGACTGTCGATCTCTTCAATACACTGCTGATAAAATGCCTACCTCTTGAAATATTTATTTGTTCTGGTCACTTATTTTTCAGTTACTGGTATCAAACACAATATTATTAAGTCTCTCTCAGTGAATGATTTTTCTGGCTCAGCTTACAAATGAGCTACCCAAAAACTTTGCTGGCAAGGACATTTTAATTTTCTGAGACATCTTTTAGAGAAAGAGTTCTTAGAACTCAAGAGATTCATCATTCTTTTTCGATGTTTGCTCCTTTCTCTCATGTCTCATAACTGGTTTCCCAACCACTTAAGCACATCTATAAACCTGCAGTTGATGAACTATTAATGAAGCAAGCAGAACATTTGATTGATTCGCTTGTGTTGATTGTGGAACCCTTTTACGATTTAAAGACAGATATACCCTCTATATTGTGCCAGATAAAAGTCTAAATAGCATGTATGTATTATTTTGTCAGGTCCTAGGTTCTTGAGTCTTCACCATCCCCTAGATATGTTCCTTATTGGCAACATCGACTGGCTTGTTATTGTATCAGAGTCAGAGTCATTGGTCCAGATTTTAGCTCACCTTGGTAAGACTTGGCAGGATTATATTCTTTGCATTACACATCACATAAATGGAATTCAGCTTATATAATATTAAAATGTATATACATTGTATATATAGTATATATCATTGAAGTATTTTGAAAATTAACTTGCTTTTACATATATCTCTTTTTCCATCCCAACAGATCTGACAGAATGGTGTTTCCCCAACTTAAAAATTATATAACTAACAGTCAGTGCTGTTAAACAATTTTCCCCTTGTGCTATAACTACTAAGAGCCAAGATTTGAAACTAGGTCAGCCTGTATATTTCTATGAGAAACTGTATCTTACAATTCATTCCCTGGGCTCTCTCTTCCTCCCTCCCTTCCTTTTTTTTATTATTCCATTCAGTTAGAAGAATTGTGAACATAAATTAGATAAAAACTAGAGTTCAGTCAAAGAATGTGTTAAGTAATTTTCCAAACCTCCAAAATGAAAAAAAGTATGCAGTTTCCTGACTATATCTTTATAGATATAAATATTAGTATCTGTAATTTAAAGGTAAATTAATAAACTATTTGACATCTAGATACATCTTTCTTTTCTTTAATTATAGCATCTTTATTGGATAAATAGTTTAATTATAAAGTGTAGAAAAAGCTACTTATGTTTAATTCACCAATTTTAAGCATGAGTTACCTCACAGTTTCAAATTTTGCAGGATAATAATATAATTTGTCCTCATTAAGTAGAACTCTGCTTTCCATTCTTCTCAAATCATAGAAGGAAAGAAATTCAAAATGTTTAAATGATACAAATGGTTCCTGTATTTTAAAATCAATACAAAATGACTAGACATAGTTATGTATTGCTATGTTATGGAAAATACTGTTAAAAAAAGTGAAAAATATCTGAACGGCATTGAATAACTGCTTGTATAAAAACAACTTTCAATAGATTATCCTTGGTAAGCAAGATGTCTTCTTCTAAAATTCTACCCTCCTACGGGATGTTCAAAGAAAAAGAAATAGTCAGATAAATTACTTCAAAATAAAGTAGTTACCAATATTTTATAAATTTATGTAAATTTCAGCCATTTTCTATGAAACACTCATTAATCACAAGGCAGTGCTCTGGAAGTGATTTATAACCTGACACCATGACTGATGTTCATAGGACAAATAAACTTGTGTTGCATTTCATTCTTAATCTATATGTTGCCTCACAGATGCACTGAGTGTGATATTCAGAGACTGATTAACCTTATTTATTAGTTGGCAAATTTTCTATACTTTGCTCCTTATCTATATTACTTTTCTTAGCCACTTCTGGACATCCTTGCATAACCCAGTGAATAAGCAAACTGGGCAAAGTCATACATAATTCAACATTATGGAACCCCATTGCAGGCCGTCTGCATAGCAAAGTGGTTCAGTTTTGTTGACATTGCTTATTCTGCAAATGTAGCTGCTTCACAATCCCTGTGTTTTGTTTGTGTCCTGTGTTTTTGTTTGTGTATGTTTAGACTCTACCTATTAAATAAAACAATAATGAACAAGAGATACTGGAAATGCAATTTCACCTTCATAACTGATTACTCTTGCAAACACCTGTAGACATAGCTAGTTTCCCCCTATCCTGTGAGCAGGGACCACATCATGAGTGGGGGGACTATATATTTTATCTACTAGATCAGGATAGTAGATCTAGATCTAGAGTGAGGGCCACTCTAGAATATGACAAGGTTAGCTGTTTGAAACTGTAAAGAGGCAGTAAGCCTCAATCAAACTGGAGTTGATTGATGGTCATAGTAAGAGTGAGGGGAATGAGTTCAGATATTGGGTTCATACATGAATTTTAATGCTAATTATCTCCTTTGTCAGCGTTATGACCTTATGCAAGTTACTTAAATTCTGTGGCTCTCAGATTCTTTATCTAAAATTAGAATAGTAATTAGACTTGTCCTAACATATGAGGATTAAGTTAGGTAAAAGCATTAAAATGGTGCTCAGATATATATTTAGAGTTATTAAATGTACTTACCACAATTAACATCATTTGTGTCTTCTGTCCATTAAACAGTGGAAGGCTTTCAATTAATATCCTTTGAGTACATTTATGAAAGAATAGATAAATGAACAAACACGTCAAAAACTGAATTTCAGTTGGAATTAAATGAAATTATGGCTGATTTTCATGATAATCTTATAAACCTTATAAATCTGTATAAGTACAGAGAGTATGATAAAAGCAAACAAGCCAGTCTTGGATAAACTGCAAAATAAATTCAAGTCAATGATATTCATAGAAAATTAATCAACTTCATTTCTAAATATATAATAAACTTCAGCACAATTACAATAATGATTTCTCTTCATTTGAATTAAGTATGTACTTTTTAAAATTCGGTTATTATTATTTTTTGTCATTGTCTTTTTTCTGTTTTAAAAGATGTACAAATCAGCATAGGGTGGGTTAGGTTGCTTAATAACTTGACACCCATATAAAGTGTAGAGTCAGTTCAGGTGACTGAGTAGGGCAACTCTTCCATCACCCACACAATAACCTGTGTGACTCAGGTTTCTTATACACCTTGGCTCCACTATCTTAAAATAAAAATTCCTCTCTGATTATTGCTATACAGAAAGAAAGAGCTGGAGGAGCTTTTCCCAGCAAAAAAAGAGAAAAGCTTCATCGTGGAAATGTCACATCCCATTCTTACCCATGAATTGGTCGACCCTATGATTAAACTTGGGTACAAATAGCGAAGTATAAACTTCTCAGATGTCTCTAGGAACAGATAATATATGTCAGCATTAAAAGACTCTCCATGGTTATGTTATCTTCAATGTTAAATAAAAGTATAAAGCAACATTTCTTTACGTCTGAGATCAAACTAAGATAATTTGTCTATTTATTTTGTAAATTAATTTATTTCTTTATTCAGGAGGATATATACTTCACCTTGTGTAAAGGTATAAAAGTTATGGTGCCTCTTTATTTCTTTAACTTTATAATATGGGTTTATATCCTACAATCTTCAGAATTATAGTTCTTGTAGTTGTATAGTGTTCCATAAAGTGTCAAACCTTATTGAATCTCAGTACCTCATTTGTTTCTAGTTTAAGTTCTAAAGTGTTGGGAAAATATTTGAAATAGTTAAGACCGACAATATATTATCAGAAATGTGAGATTCTGGAAATGAGCTTGTGAATCTGCTAATCCTAAGTGGCCTATCCAGCCTCCATTTTGTTACCTACAGTTCCGTATTCAGGAGGTATGACCAGGAACCCCAGGGGACCATTGACGGATGTATAACAAAGGATCAGAAGCTGATCAGTAGAATACCTTATAGGTAAGATTGAAATCCTAACTGGGTAGTCAGAGCTGGATCCACATACCAAGCTATAAGCAGACAGTTCCACACTTTCCCTGATCCTTCTACTTCTCCCTTTCCTCTTCTACTTCCCCATCTGACTAAAGCTGTTTGCCAATAAAAAGGCCAGGAACTTGCTCTTCAACACCATCCTGCATTATGTATCCTGCTCCATAGTTCCCGTTTCTTTATCAGTATGGTGTTGCCCGATGCAACATGGGCTAAATTTTTCCCAAAATATCACTAAGAAAAAGTTACAATCATTTATTTTCAGAAGGATTTTAGCATGTTGTTAGCTTGAATCCTCTGGGAAGCAGATACCAATATATAACTATAAGCACAAGTTATTTATTAGGTGAACTGCCTGTTACAAGGAGGGAGTCCTAGGACATAATCAATGCATGTTTGATGCCTGTGGATGAGAGAAGGAAGGAGGATTTGGTCTGAACATTCCTTTTTACATTGCAGTTCTAAGACATTTTCGAGGCCATGATGGAGTCTTTGAGTCAATGTCACTCCCAGAAATAGGCCTGCTCTGGTGATTTGCTGTGTTCAGCAACTGCTTAAGAACAGCAGCTCTTTGAAAATGCAATGGTCTGACCTGGGTGCTGTTATATTCAGAGCACAGCAGAAGGAGTCCCAAGTCAATTACTTTCCCAGCAGTCAGAGAGCTCATTTCAGGACCACAATTCATTCGGTGGAAAGAAAACATGCTACATTATCTCTCTCTAAGATTATAGCATTCCATCTGTCTTTTACACAAAAATCCAAACTTAAATACAAAACATACCTGCTTAGAAGTTGCTTATACCTGCAATAAGAATTAGAGTCATTGTGTTCTGCACATTAAAAATGTTCCTGTGTCTTGAAAGTTATATGTGTTGAATTTGTCAAGGAATTCTAGTAGTCTAAGAAGGTCATCTACTTTTTGAAAAGTGGGAAATATTACTCTGATTATGGCAATTTTAGTGGAAAATATTTTACATAATTACTTACCTGACAATCAGAATGATGATAATGATTGGACATTTACCTAACAGATGATTCAACAAAGTAAAACACCTTTTAAAAATTAGCAGACACAAATTAGTAAAGTGAGGTTAAAAGGGGAAAACCTTAAAGAGGGATAATAATAGTGATGGAAGAAAACCTAAAAAAAAATATGAATGGTATAGGGCCTCTCTGATGGCACAAGGGGTTACTTCTCACAAGCTATCACCAGCCACTACAGCATGAGTTCCATCTCTGGCCAGGGAGGTGACCCACATGGTGTGGCAGACCTATCTTACCCATTGCTCTCCTCAGCAATGGATTTCAGTTCTGCTGAAACTGATCTGCCTGTTCTGCTCCCCATGCTCTGGTGAATCCTCTCACTACCACACCCCCACACACACACCTTTGGCTTGTATACCAGCTCTTATATGCATAAATATATAAAATAAAATCTTTAAAAAATACATATGGTTGATATAATGTGGTAATGTTTATTCTAGGAATACTGTAACTGTATCAGCCTAAACCATTCCATTAATAAATTAAAACTAAAAAAGTCATAAAATTATACAGAGAAAAAGGAATATTAGATAAAATTTAACAGGAATTCTAATGAAAATACATAATGAAAATATGTATATTGCCATACCATGAGCTGTTCCTTAAAGTTTCTGTTGAACATGACAATCAATGATGGCTACTTTTATTCTCCACAACAAGTAAATGGGAACAAAAATATCAACTCAAACATGGAGTGGGAGAACTAGCAAATCCAACAGCAAAATACTGCCCTGTTTTCTATAAATTCAGAAATTAAATAGGGATGCTTTCAGTCAGCACCAGTAACATTTTATGAAAAAGAAAATTAATTGATTAGTTTGAATATTTTGAAAAGATACAAAGTATTATACTTCTTTGGTAATAGTAGTATATATTTACAAAATAAAGAATACTTGGTCAAAAAAACAATATGTATTATCAATGTGTCTGGGAAAATTAATTAAAGGGAAAAAAAGCAAAAACACCACAATAGAGGGGAAAATACTATAAAATATCAAAAATAAAATAATGATAGGGTCATTAGGTACAAAAAGAATGTTTTATTAATTGGCTTAAAGGAAGACCAGAAATTAGATTAATATACAATGTTCATAAAGAAGTGTTTATACAGTTTGCTCTAAAATAACAGAACACATGTTCTTGCTATATTTTTAGGGCAATTAGAAGGTTCATTGCTCAATGATAGATGTTACAGAAAATATTGAGATAAGATGAATATTCTTAGTCTACCTCTCTCTGTCCACCAACAATTTCATAAATAATAAAAGGGGCAAAAAAAAAAACAAAAAAACAAATTTGCTTTGAATAAAATCTTTTGAATGAAAGTAACACTCATGTGCAGCTAAATATTATGCAAAGCAGAGTAATACAAGATGAGAGCAGAAAATTCCAGTGAGCTGGAAGTAATATAGAAAAATTAACTGATTTTGATTTCTGGGATGGAGAAGTCAATGTGTCTTTGGAATGAGTGGAAGTTCAGTAATTAGAAATATTTTTAAAAGTTTATATTTAAAAACTTTATGTGACTATCAATTTAAGTCAAGCTGTAGAATAAGAAAAAATAATTTAATAAACAAATCTTATAAACTCTGGAATCAAGAACTATTTACAGCTGAAATGTTTTGGTCTCAGATCGCATTTCTATGACTGCATAGTCCTTTTGTGACTGTATTTAACTCCAGTAAACTCAGATGAGAGAACATTTTGGGGTGTGTTATTTTTGTTTGATTTTGTTGCTTCCTTTTCGATTTTCTTTTCTGGCACTCTTGTAGCTATATTTCTCTTCTCGCCAACCTCTGTAGTTAAAATTTATTTACTTGGTAGTAATTTACTTAATAGCTCATTTTTTCTTATATTCTGCAAGAAACTACATATAAAGTTATTAAAGATACTAGCACTGAATCCCTCTTACTTGAACTGTTTTCAGGGTGCATCATTGAATGTATGTAAAGAAACTATCATACCTATTTACTGCTGTTCAAGAAAGCAAGACATGTTTTCATAAAATATGAGGTTAAGTATAAGGGACAACAGACTACATTGTCATTCACTTGTTAAGCATTATAGGCAGTCATAAATGCATGAAGTCTGGATGTATTCAAAAGGACAACTTTAGAAAAGCAGATTCAATGATTACATTCAAAATGTGACTACACTGAGTAAATATCTAATGCATACATTGTATATTTTGCATTTGGTCTACATGATCTATTTCAAAATACAGATAAATATGAATAGTTATCATTTTGAAAATACTACTTCAATGTCCTTTAAGAGACTATTGTAGTTTAGTAAAGAATAGTTTAATAATTATATTCTCATTCCTTAGTGCAACTGCAACTTGAATCATTGCATGTTTAGACAAATAGCAAAAGGCAAAATTTCTAGAATACATAAAGGCATATTCCCCAGTGAAAAATATTCTTGGATATGTAAAGGTGGCTTGTATACAGTAAGTCTCAATACCACATTTAATTGTGTTTTTTCAAACATCTCACTTCTTATTTTCTTCTTCCATAAAATGCAGCACTATAATTATCTTTGGGGCCTTTGCTCTCTTTATGTTTCATGATTTTTGTTTGTTTGTTTCATCTGAATTGTATAGCTCCCATATAACAACAGCACCACTGACAGAGTTCAACTACTGCTCAAGAATTTCAAATTAAAATATTTATGAGTTCATTGTGTTTTAAAAGATAAAAAAATGCAATAACAGACCATTTATTGTTTGACTGTCCATCTGTTCCCACAATTTTAATTCAAATCTGGAAGGGAATAGAATCTTGAGCTGGAAGGGATAACTGTTATCATGTGCCAAACTCACACTTTCCCTTTTATGCGTTAATCTGGTCAGTAACAGCATTTTTACCCAGGGGGACTTTTGTACAGAGACAAAAATAAATCAAAATGCTGAAAATGTTTTGCTGTAAGAATGACCAGAGTTAAGATAGAATCTTTTAGACTTTATTCAGTCTTCAGGGTAAAATATAAACACCAAAATTGAGAATGGAAGCAGAGTCTAACATTTAAGAATTACTTAAAGACTTTGAAATTAGAAGCAATTTTAAAATAGCATAATTGATCATTCATAGAATATAAAAATGATCACCCTGGCATTTTTGAAAATGGTGCAAGAATTATAATTTTAATGAAGTAATTGGCTTTTGTCAATTCTAGCTAAAATGTATTTCCCACAGCTGGTCAACTGTCATATTTGGTTGAATAATGACAAAATTCACAGTATTCTGCTGTCTTAAAAATTGACAAAATACACTAAGTTGGAAGCTCTATGTGCAAGACAATAACAAATTGATGCATATATATCAATATTTAACATCAATTTTCCATGATTTCAAAAGAATATTAAGCTAAAAAAATTTTCTTATTGACTCTAAAATTTATCACTTCATTTTATCAGTCAAGATTCAATCACAAAAGCTGAATTACTAGAATACACATATGACTGATAGTGGCATTTTATCTTACACAATTTAAGAAGCTGGTTAAATAGACTTTGGTAGGTTTTAAATTATCTGTGGATGCTGCAGCATAAAGTCAGCTTGGCATATAGTAAGGAAGGACATCCAACGGGGACTCTCATATCCCATTGACTCACTAATATGAGGAACCCAAAGAGGTCAGGTAATTGTTTAAACTTTGATTTAGTAGAACTGTTACTATAGACTTGTTTTAAACATTTCTTCCTTGGCAACTCAGACCCATAGTAAGGGGGGGGGGTGTGGGCAGTAATAATGATGTCAGTGCCTTTCTAAGGTAATAATGAGCTGGGTCATTCACTCTTCCCCACTTTTTTTTTAAAGATTTATTTATTTATTCATACAGAACTGGGGTACAGGCCAGAGATGCAGAGGGTGAGAGGATTCACCAGAGACAGAGTGGGGAGCAGAACAGGCAGATCCACGAAGTACACTGCTGAGGGGAGCAGCGGGTGGGTCAGGAGAGGTCTGCCACGCCATGTGGATCTCCTCCAGGGCAGGCGGGGATCGAACTCATGCGGAAGTGGCTTAAGCTTCTTAGTGCAGTGCTTTAACCCGCTGCGCCACCAGGGAGAGCCCTCTTCCCCACTTTTCAGGTTTAAAGAAAAAAACAGTACCACAAGATGGTTGCTGTTAAGGATCATATAGCCTAGAGGACATCACCCTAACCTCGCAACATGTAAACTAGTTGACATTTCAGAAGCCATGTTATCTATATGTCAGGCCAGATGCTTCATGGAGATGGGGTCATAAAAGCAACAATTACATGAGCAACTCTACACTTTATATTCTATAAAATTATTTCCTCAGTCAGAGGCTATGATCACTTGAATATCATGATGGAGAATGAGGTATTCCTTAGGTTTGGCAGAAGTGTTGCAGATTAGGAAGGAAAATCCATATTTAAAGTGAGTGTCTATTCATTACGGATTGCCTTGAAAAACTATTCAAACAAGAACCAAAATGTCATGGGAAAATGTCTGGTGCATGCATAGTTTGTAATATTCTAGCTGAAGAGGAAAGGTAGGAGCGAAGGAAGGAAAGGACTGAAGGGGGAGGGAGGGAGGAAGAAAGGAAATGGAAATATTTTATAATGACTATTTGACTTTCTAATCATAATCTATTTTATTCACAGGAGCACAGACTTTTAGAGGAATTTTATAAAGGCAAACAAGTAAGTAGTTCTACTCATTAATTAGTGTTCTTGTGAAACTTGTATCCCCACAAAAGTAATTGAAGCTCTTTTGGAAGGACAAATGACTATTCTCTATTTAGGAATTATAATTATAGCTAAATAGTTGACAGGTCATAAAATAATATATTCACTACATAAAGTTGCAATAAAATATCAATTTCAGGTCCAACAATCTGTCTTTATGTGAAATATTTGATTACTCACCAAGTGTTCTCATCAGATGAGCAAAGATCTGGCTTTTTTAAATTCACTAATTAACATTGGTTAAAAGCTTTTCACTGAAATTTCTAAATACATAAATCCAGGATGCAAATTCCTTACAGCTAAGAATAGAAATAAAAGTGCCCACTATCAGTTTCCTAATTTTTCTTCCACTAAAGTTGAAAGAGGACTTGAAAATCCTGAAAAATAAACACTAAAGTTGAAATCAATGATTAGAAATATGTATCTGTGGCTAAAACTCAGACACAGAGGTCAACTCTATATCTGACACTAATTAAAATTGATGATTATCTGCCCCCCTTTTAAATCTTGAGTATGTTAACTGACCACAACCTATCTCTCTAGACCCCCTTAAACTTCCCCTTTGCTTGCTCTTCCCCTTCCATTTATCTAACACATGCCAGCTTCACAGACCTTGCATTTTTTAAAAATTATTTGTTTACTGCTTTTCAATTGTATTTTATTTTTATTAGGGCAACGTTGGTTTACAAAACTGTATGTGATTTAAGGAATATGTTCACAGGTCCTCAGATGATGTCAACTCACCACACCTGCCACTAAGCGCCCATAATCATTTTGTGTTCCCACCCACCCAGCCTCCCCCTCAAGTAGCCTCAATTGCACTGACCTTTCCTTACCAATTTCAGTTCATTGCCATTTCTGAAACTTTTACAACTTAAGTGCTATGACCCAGCACATCATTTCTCTTCTTCTCCATTCTATTTAACCACTACACAGTTTACCTGCCTCAAGTTCATGATACCTTCCTCTCTAACAGCTCCTCTCAGTTAGCTTCCCTCATTATACTTCTCACAGCACCAGTACTGTTAGCGCTGTTCTTTGTTCACAGGTGGACTGCATGGAGAGAGGTTCCGAGTATAAGCTCCAAAGTGAGTGCCCAGTTGTGTGGATGTCAGCCTTGTTATTTGTCAATTGTGTAAGGATGGTGAGGACAATTAGCTAAGAAGCTGTAGGCAAAATATAAGCAGAACTAAATTTTTAGAGGCAATAAACCTAGGAACAAAGTCTTATTCTTCAATTTTCTGGGTCCATAATTCTTGGGTAAGTTACCAACTTCTCTTAGTTTTGGTTTCAGCAACTGGAAAACAAGGGTATCGATAGTACCTAATTAAAAAATTTGTTTCAAATATTAAAATAGGGCCCATCACATAAGCAGGAGCTATTATATAAGTACATAAGTAAGTACATAGTTCAGTGTTAGCATGTATTATGCCATGAGTAACTTACTTCATACATCTGCTGTATTTGTAACAAGATAGCTACCATATTGAGTGTGAGTGTGTGTGTGTGTATGGATGTGTGTGTGTGTGTGTGTGTGTGTAACATCAGCTGTGTGATTGTCTAATTTTGCTCCCCTACTACACAGATTCATGAAAGCTTCAGTATTATGTGCCTATTGGACACTATATCCCTAGAAGCTCATGTAGAAAGATGTGTGACATACAGAAAAATACTCAATAAATACAGGTATCCCATAAATGAATCAATCTTTCCCATAAAATAAAAGTTGCACTATCAATTAACTTGCAGTGTTTAGTTTTATGAGATTTCAATCAAACAGCATATATTTAAAACACCTAGTACTCTGCCAGAAATATAAAGAATATCATAATGTAAACTGCCGGCCCTCTTCCCAGGTCACTAAGAAAATCCATAATCTCTTTAATGTATTACCTCTGTAATCTCACCTATAAAATACTTCTTATTCTGTGTCATTTGGAGAATTTCTGAGATAGTAAATGGCTGTTCTTTTACAATGTACATCAGTTATTTTAGTTTCACTAGAAAGTTAGTTTATGTATCAGCTCTCACTACTTTAAATTGGTCTTTAATATCTTTTTCTTCTTGTAACTTTTTGTAGCATCTTGAAAATAATACTTAAAACGTGCAATAAGAACAGATAATCTCTAAATATTTCATTGAATATTTACCTTATTCCTCATTTGGAGGTCAGAGAAATTTTAGCAAAATAGGAAAAACATGAATGTCTTTGAGTAACATTTTGCATGCACATAATCACAACACACACACACACACACACACACAGAGGCCCAAACATAAGTAAAAATTATGCAATCTTCTGCTCTTCATTCCACCAAGGTTCTTTAATAGCTGGCATTCTACCCAAAGTTCAAAAACATTATCAATTGCTTACTTAAGCAATAAGCCATTGCATGTAGACAACTGCATTTGTCTCTTCCTGTGTTTGAAATTTAAAGAATATAGCGCTTTGCTGATGAAAAAGCACAAGGAAAGCTTTCATGTCTAGCACATTAAGGAGCAGGTCAGAAGAAGCACTTTGTGCTATCATGAAACTACAGGGGCTCCGAAAGGCTGTGTTATCTTTCACCTCTTCTGGTAGAACAATTCCTGGTGTGGATCCCTTTCTTCATGGGCATACTGTCAACTTAACTAGTTCCTTAGACTTGATGACCTACTCTGTTTTATAGATTCATTTATTTATATATGTCTACATAACCGGGGTACAGACCAGAGGTGTGGTGGGTGAGAAGATTCACCAGAGACAGAGGGGGGAGTACTACAGGTAGATGTACTGAAATACACTGCTAAGCAGGGAGCAGCAGGAGAGTCAGAAGAGGTCTGCCACACCATGTGGGTCAGAATCCTGACTCTGAAGAACTCACACTGAAGAAGCTGCGGCTAGCTTCACAGTGCTATGCTTTAACCCATTGGCCATCAGGGAGGGCCCATGATTAACCCGTTTATATAACCACAAACAGTCTAATAGCTTTCTCCTCTCTCTACATCCTTTCAAGAACTTTCTGGGGGTCTTCTAAAAAAATACCACTTGCATGGGTGAGAAATGATGTCTCATTTTTCTTTTGACCTTCATCACCTTTATTAAAAACAATGTTGAACAGCTTTTCATGTATCTGTTGGCCTTGTGGGTTTTTGTGGGACTTTTTGGTAAATTATTAAGATTTGTTGCCCATTTATGAGTTGGGATATTTGTTCTTTTAATATTAAATTGATAGAGGAAATGCAATAGGGCAAGGTATGGTGGGAAGGGGTGCAGAACTTCAAAACTCTCCCCAACATATCCACATATTCAGCAACCTCTGAACTCTGTTGATTGGGGATTTTTAAGGAGACTTGACCAACTGGGTAGAATCAATCATTAACTCCATTTCCAGCTCCTCTAGGACAGTGGGGTTGGTTAGAACTAGAAGTTCTATGCTTAACTTTTCTGATGACCAACCCCATCTCAGAAGCCCATCAAAATTCATCTCATTAAAACAAAGGGCATTGCTATTACACAGGAAATTCCAAAGGAGATGCATATTCAGTGTCAGGAACAAGAGTCAAAAATCAAATGTTAGAACAAAAGTGGTTCCTAGTGTTCTAATTATTCAGGAAATTATAAAGGGCTTAAAAGCCCTGTGCCAAGAACTGGGACAAAGATCACTTATGTATTTTATATTTTAAAACTTTAATATTTGGCCTATGAATTTATATTTGCCCTCAAAACAATTGGATTATCCTTTTGCTTTCTGCAATATGTGTATATATCCTGGATCATTTTCCTTCTGTCTTAAGAGTTCTTCTTAATATTCCTGTCAGCACTGGTTTACTGGCAACAAATTATTGTTTTTGACATATGGAGAACACTTGTATTGTTGTAATTTGATTGGATAATTTTTTATATAAAATTTATATTTGCAGCTATTTTCTTTTACCCTTTTAATATTTTTTTCAATATCTTCCTTTTTGACGATTTCTGATGGGATGTCACCTCTAAGTCTCACTGTTACCCCTTTAATATCATGTGTTCACCCACCCACCCTTGCCCTTACCTGATCACTTTTGAAAACTATGTTTGTCTTTGCCTCTCAACACTTTCCATGATGCCCCTTTCCATTGTAATTTCTTCTTTTTTTCATTTCTTAGTCTTGAATTTCACAGAACTTTGGGGGAGAAAAAAAAAAATCTTGTCATCATTTTGTAAAATGTTGCTGCTTCCTTTCTCTTCTGTTTCATGAAGGGACTCAAAATAGACATTGTTAGATCTTTATTTTTAATCTCATTTCTCTCAAACACATTTTTATGTTTTCTCTTTTTACCTTTCTGCGTTAGTTTGCTATTCTGTACTGATAATACTTGTAATTCACTTCTACTTTTCTGCATTTAAAGGTTTGCTAAATGAATTTTTGTAGATTTTGAATTTTCATTTTATTCCTCATACAAGATTCCAATTTTCTGCTTTTTAAACAATTTCCTTATATTGTTCTTTGTCAAATTTATGTTAAATTTCACTTTCTACATTTGCATCATTTCCAATGTTCTATCTTAAAACCTTGATTTTCATTTATATGCCCCTGTGTTTTGCAGTGTAATGTTTGACTGCCAGCAGTTGTTTATAAAACAGTTAAAAAGACCCCAGATATTACATTCCTCCTGGAAAGGTTCATATTTCCTCTGCTAGGCCAATAGAGGGCTGGGAGATTATGATGATGAATTTAGAAACATGCAGAATCAAAGACTGCTCTTGAAACTCTAACATCAGCCTACTGCTAATTTAACCTAATCTTCTATATTGTTGAACTGATACCATAACCTGCAGAACTCATGCTACAATTGGTCTTAGTTTCTCTTTTCTATTTCATGAGGCTGCTGAGATTTCATTCCATACATTAGTAGAATCATGTTTGACCTTTTTACTCTTCCTACAGAAGAGCCCCTCACTTCAGCAGATATCCTCAGGGCAAACCCAGGCGTGTGCCAGGGTCTGTTTGGAAGGCCTTTGTTTCTGCTCTGAGTCCCTTTCAACAGCCCTATACAAGTGCAAAATGTTCACCTCAACCAATGGAAGCAGACAAAATGGCCAAAGCCCTGGGGAAAAAGTGGCTGCAGTATTAAGCACACCTCTTTGAGATTCTTGCCACACCAGTGAATTATACATTCAAGTTTTTATTTCCTCAGCCCTAACGATTGCATTCAGAGAATACATTTCTCTACTTTATCTAAACTTTGCAGTTGTTCACAGTGAGAATTGTGGTCTGCCACTAACTTAGCCCATCCAACCCTGTAACAGAGTGATTTTTTTCTGATGAGTTATCCTATTTTCTTTTGCCTGAAAGTAAAAAAAAAAAAAAGATATAAAATACACTACAGGAAAAGTTATCAAAATACCCATCAATATCAAATGAATGCAGTGAAATTCACGAACATATATACATATACCTGGAAAATCATATTATTTTGCCAATTGAAGCATCAATAAGGAAATACCAATTCATAACTTTTGTGAATGCAAAGATCCAGAAATTGTATTTCTAAAAGCCAATCTATTTCTAGAAAGCTAAAGTACATGAGACCATTTCCATTTAAATAGAATTCAGGAATCTGACTTAATCTAAAACTCTAAATTCATAATCAAAAGTGGGAAATACTTTGGAATTTGTATTAAAATAAATTACTGAAAGTAGTCTCAAATGTCACATAAGTTTAAAGTAAAAAAAAAATGCAAACCTTGCACAAAAAGGATCTAGCTTTCTAAACTTTCAATTCACATTCAAATAAATCAACCTAAATAAAAACCCCTCCACAATGAATTGTACACAACAGTGTTCCATGTTCCTAAGGAGTGTAAGTTCACTGAGGATGGTTCAGACCCAGTGTTTTATTCTGTCCATCAATATATAAAAAAACTTATTGTTTTTGGACTTTCCCTTTTGGTGCAACGGGTTAAAGCACCACATTATGAAGCTCTCCGAAGCCACTGCAGCACGAGTTCAATCCCTCCACCTGGGAGCTGACCCACATGGCATGGCAGACCTCTCCTGACCTTCCCTCTGCTCCCCTCAGCACTATACTTCCTCGATCTGCCTGTTCTGCTCCACCTGTCTCTGGTGAAGACACCACACCTCTGGCCTGTACCCCAGTTCTGTATGC